ACACTTTTTGCTTTATTAATATCCTATTTTTGTAATATTTACCAACGAGATAAACGTTGAAATTATGTCTATATGCTGAAACGACAACATGCATAAACTAATAAAAAGATATTTTTGTAAAATAATTTGTCTTTATAAATCAATTGCTGTTTTTCAGTAACACCGCTTAACAGACAGCCCTAAATTTGTTTTTTTGGATTAATAATGCATAGTAATTTGGTATATTTCTTCTTTGCAGATGACAGCTATTGAATTCTCTAAACAAATGAACCGTATTTTGCAGTTTTTACGAGCCTCGAAATTTCACCTCACGATGTGATGATCCAATGGATTCAACTGATATAGGCACTGTATTCTGTCGATCAATTTGCCTAACAATAGTACAAGATTTTATTTCATTCGGTTTGTTCTACTAACATTTACTGCTTACTTAGTTTTCTTCTTTTGTTTTTTTTAGCGATGCAAAATTTTAATTTAAAAAACCAAAATTTTGTTTAAGCTATTACTGCTTTATAAAGTGCTGTTTAAAAACAGCTCATTATTTCAATATTCAATGCTTTTTCATGTAGTAACAAACATGCGTCAGCAGTAAATCAAAATAACATTAAAAGCCTATGTGTAATTATCGAGTAAAACAGTTCAATAAAAGCGAAAAATAAATGCAAAAAAACCCTAAATCTTATAGAAGTTGAAACTTTTTATACTTGAGCATTTTGTTTACAGTTATTCACGACAACTATGACTGCTTCAGATAGAATTGAGTTTTTAACATAAGATTGTTTTAACCGGCATTACACGTATCAATTTACTTTTCAACGACTATTTCGTGACTGCACGGTAAAAACTGATCACAAATTAGTCCCTTACAATTATTTCCTATTTTTTCGCTTTATACTTTTTGAATATTAGATAATGTACTTTTTCATACAAAAATTTGTGTTTTAAGCCTTTTACGAAAGATTAATTTTTAATACCTAGTAAAGAAGAATTTATTCTAAATTTATTATTTAAAAATCGCTTTTAAAAGAAGTGAAAAAACAGAAAATTGCAAGGGGATCAAAGGTACTGCTGTTGCCAGAGCAATAATTATTCTTACTGATTCAACTAATCCAATTCAAACCTAAAACAACCATTTCGCACTTGAATTTAATAAGTAAATCTAATTTCTGCATACACGTTATTATTTTGCTATCATCTGTTGGTTTACTTTTTTTATTTCGCCTGATTGCTGTTTCCTTAATTTACCAGCGCTTAGCAAATGTTAGAGATGTTCATTGTGTTTGATTGGAAAAAAGACATACGACAGTGACTCTTAAAGTTCCGGCTGTCTTATATCTGCAACAATCTAGTCAAACTTGTTTTTTTTTCTTTCGCAGTGATTCGCTAAGTTGGCAACCAGAACCAAAGTTTGAGTTGGCTAGGCTGATGAGTGACGGTCAGTTAACTGTGACAATTTAGTGCTTCTCTGCATGCTATTTATCAACTCGTGTGAAAAAGTTTTTCGTCGCTAAACACCATCTGTAGTCACCTTGAACCTGTTTTGTGCAAGGTTTTTTGTACCTCTTAAAAGCTTAAACTTTGAGAAACAATCACATACTGCAGGCAGCCTGTTCAGCTATAAAAGAATAACAATAAACAAGTTTTACAACTGGTTTACTTTTTCTTAATTATTACTTTTTTTACCTTTCTCGCTCTTGACGCCTCATTTCAAACCCTGACAAATACCGATTATAGAAACCTGTAAAAAACTGCCAGCACAATATTCATAGTTTATCTTTAAAAAATGCTTATAAACAGCTCTACAGCTTTAGTACCTATCAGTATTGACTCGTCTAACTGATACAGCATTAGCAGTTGCTTGAGAAAGAAAAAAGTTTTTAAAAGATTATAATGTTATAAGAAATAAAGAGGAACAAAAAATTATTCTATTTCTTTTTGAAACATTAAAAAATATTTGTTCGTTTTATAAAATTTTTTTTTCAAGAGATAGAAAGAAAAAAAAAGGAAAAAAAGAAGCGAAAAGAAAAAGAAGAATGAGATGGGATTAGAGAAGATAGTTGTATGATAATTTATGACAAATAAGATGAGTGTTATAATTTTTAGGCCGAAAAACAGGCAAAAAGTTGACCATTCGAGGCTGTTCAACTTCAATAAACCGATATGGATTTTTTAACAGAACACTTGCACTGTTCGACCGGTATGTAATCATCATTTAATTATATAATTTTTTTCTTTCTTTTTCAAGTCATTCTGACGACCTTCGTCTTCCTTTTTTTCCAGACATTTTTACAGCAATTTTATACAAGCATTATGTCAAAATCTTTAATTAGCAAAGATTAATGCATGAAAGAAAATCCAGTTTGAAAAATATACTTTGAAAAGACTTTAACTCTTTGGTACTCATTTGCAATTTTATAGTTATGTCACTTTGCGTAAGCGGCAATCTTTTAGCGTTAAAATATTTGTAGGTTTTTCTTCCGGTCAAGATTTGCTACTGTTACTTTTTTTTACCATCACTTTTAACAACTTCTCTGCTTAACAAACAATTTAATGCTGATAAAGCAACGGATAATGTGTTATATTTCTCAAAGCATTACTAGAAACTTTGTGGCTACTAAACTTACACAAGGCAGAATTTGGGTTTTGCTAGTCGCTGAAAAATGTGTTAAACTAATTTACTGCTAGCCAGTACTTGGCTTATACCAATAATCACTGGCAGATCATGATGCACTTTCCCACTATTAGGTATGAACGTTTTTATTAGCAGCGTTTTTCATTTTTTTTTGTCTGAGTACTTAGGGGTATTTTCATGTAGTTAGTACTGATTGATAAACTGGTTACTTTTAGGTTCCTTCTTCTAATCCGTTACATGTTGCTTCATTTATTTAAAGCATGCTTAGGTTTTTTATAGGGAATAGTAACTCAAACAAAGAGTTATAACATTTTACAGTCTTTCAATCGTTCAGCAATCCAACACAGTAATAATATTTCTAGTGTTTTTTTTTTTTTGCATCACGATCACTGTCATTGTCATCATCGTTATCATCACGACCAAACAGTTTCAGCATTGAAAACTAATTTTTAAGTACAAAAAAAAAATGTAATAAGTTTAAAAAACGTGTTTCAAATAAGTGGCTGAATGCTAAATCCTTCTTTTTTTACTACTTTTTACTTTTTCTTCGTTTATTCAGGCCATAGTGCGAGGCAGACGAAAAACTGGCTTCAAAAAAAAGTCAGACAAAAAAACTTCTTGCTCTTTCTTTCCCTTGTTGTTGGTTTTTTGACTTCTCTACTTTCTAAAACAGAAGAAAAAAGTGATATGTAAAGATATTCCAATATGTTTATTTGCCTTCCAAAAATTTTCAAAAACCACTTTCAACGGTTTTTTTTCCGCCATTTCATATTTCATTATTTTGTGAAAGCTAACATAGGCACTTTGTTGTTGTTGTTACTGCAGCCGATTTTTTCACTTTAAATAGATGCGAAAAAAGTTTGGAACTTGCTACTGTTGTTTAGCGGTAAAAGTAAAGAAAACAGATATGAAATAAATTCAAGAATTAAAGACAGAGGAACAGTATGACGAAAGAAAGTTAATAGAAGTGAAAGTCTTGAAGAATAAAAAAAAAGCTAAGAAAAACTGCCATTTCGAGGCAGAAAAACGTGGACCGCTAAGTTTTGTGCAGTATCATGTCACGTTTTTGGCAGTTTTTGGTGGGAGTTTTCAACATGTTTACCCAGGCCTATAGCACAACGGTGTTCGCCCAACAAGTGTTCCTAGAGCAGTTGTGAAAAAAACTATATGAGAGCAACTACTAAAGCTGTTCTGCCGAAATGATAGTCAAACTATTGATTTGGAAATTTCCAACGACGCACTGTACAAAAAAATTAAAATTTTTGAAACATCTACAGCAGAACAGGGCTGACGTAGTTCACTGGTCTCTTTCTAAGACGGTAATCACAAAAAAGTGATATCCTTTAAAATTATGCTCCTTTGTCAACAACAGCTTTGCCCCTTTGACAAACCTGTTTAATATTTAGCTAACAGTTTTGATTGAACGATACTTCCACTTATTTATTTTGCCAGATAAACACTTTAGTTTCTCTTTTTATGATTAGGCAACAACTTACTCTGACATTGCTCTTGATTTCTTGCAAGTTTCCCCTTGTTGACAAAAAACCAAAAGCAACTTTAACCACTGTTCAGAAGTTCAACCAAACGAGGCAGAAAACAATCATTAATTTATATCATTTAATTTCTTTCCCTTTCAGTCATTTTCTTTTGCTATAATTGTTTCATCAAAATTTCCTTTTTTTTT